AAAGCCTGGGATGGAGAGTGAAAAGCCCAGGGCTGCTTCTCCTGCTGTGTTATCTGTGACCCCTGCTGAGCACCCTCTGGGCCATCTGCCTCACATTTTCCAGCCCTCTTTGACAATCAGCGGAAAGATTTTTCTTTTTTTGATTTTTTTTTTTTTTTTTACAGAGTCTGCTATTACTTTTCATGAAGAGCAGGAAGTGGGACTTTGAGGAAAATACCACTAAATACCATGAGAATCACGAAGGAAACGAGTGCTGGTGGCGGTGGCCAGCTGTGGGTGGTGGCAGAGCTTCCCTGGCCGTGCTGGGGGACACACGGCCCCAGTAATGTGCTTTTGTGACCCCCCGCTCACAGCAGAGTCCCCAGGGGCAGAGATACACACAGATACCCTCCTCTCTGCCTGTTACAACATTTACAGAAACAGCCTGTAAATAGAATTATGGGAGTGTTTTAAATGGATTTCTGAGCTGGATTCAGAGCTATTCCCTCGTTGCATTCCCTAAATATAAACCAGAGCTTATCTTGCTGGCACAAAACTGCCAGGAGCGTCTTTCAGCCTTACCTCTGCGAGCAGCCCAGGAGGTTGCAAGCGGGATTTGCGCTTTTTAGGGACTGCTGAGGTCCAGCTGCAGCCCAGGGAGGGAGCCAGGAGAGGCTGTGCCCCATGCAGGAGGGACACTGCTGTGAGCACACGGAGCGAGGCTTGTCCTGCACACCGGCTCAGCTCTGGCAGCAGGAATGGGGCTGGGGCGAGGGTTTGCTGGCAATTCCTGACCTGCACAGTCACACAGCCAGGCCCAAGTGTCTCTGCTGTATTGCAGAGTGAAAACAGACAATTGTGAGTCTTGGTCTGGAGCTGTGTGGTGCAATAATGGAATCACAGAATCCTGGAATGCTTTGGGTTGGAAGGACCTTAAGGCTCATCCAGAGCCACCCAGCCATGGCAGGGACACCTTTCCCTGTCCCAGGGTGTCCCAGCCCCAGTGTCCAGCCTGGCCTTGGGCACTGCCAGGGATCCAGGGGCAGCCCCAGCTGCTCTGGGCACTGTGCCAGGGCTGCCCACCCTGCCAGGGAACAATTCCTGCCCAACATTCTCCTATCCCTGCCCTCTGGCACCGGGAGCCATTCCCTGTGTCCTGTCCCTCCAGACCCTGAGCTTTGCCCCTGCTCCTTCCCCATCTCCAGAGCCTCTCTGACCCCTGCAGCTCCAGGGGGAGTGCAGAGGTGGCTGTGGTCAGCTCCTCTGACCTGCCCAGCAGCACAGGCTCTATAATTACTCCCTGGAATATCTGCCTCAAGCCAGAAGTTGTGTGCTGGAACTGAAGGAGGCTCTGTCTAATGAGCCTGTCCCTGGATGTCAGCAGTAATTAATGTGCATCACCCTGCAGGTTCCCACCTCCTCTTAATAGGCTGAAATTCTATCCTCTGGTTATAATTGCAAATTATGGTTAAAATTTTACATGCCTGGGAGTGGGGAAGCTGGATGCTCCAGCTTATTCCCCTGTGGGTACACGTGGGGATGTTGCTGAGATGGTTCCAGCCCCTCCTTTCACTCCTGGCCCTCTTACATTTGACTTCCACCCTCATCACCCTCTTCTCCTCCCTTGTCCCCTTCTCTTTCTCACTTTGTCTCCTCCTTTCCTCACCTTTCTTTGCCTCCTTTTCTGTGTCTGAGGGGCAGCATCTGAGCCTAAATAACTGCAACTCTTTGACCTCATTTGGCTGGAGGAGCCAGCTCAGCTGCTGCTCCCGAGGTTCCCCGTGGCCATCAGTGCCCAGCTGAGGGTGAAGGATGCACAAACTCTCTCTGAAGGGCTCCCCAAACACGAGCTGGTGGCAGAACGCTCCTGCTGCTGCACCCGCTGCAAAACCTCCTGCCTGGAAGCAGGCTGCAGTGCTGGAACTGGCCTGGGGCCAGTGCTGAGTCCCTCGACCGTTGCCATAGTGTTAGGACTATTCATTCTTGTAGGAAAATATTGCACAAAGAGGTGGCAGTCATTTATTCCAGATCCAGGGCAGGCTGATGGGGAGCAGCCCGGTGGCTGGCTGCCATCGCCAGGTGAGCCTCTCTCGAGAAGAGGTTCAGGCTTCTTTCCCAAACCTTTTCATCAAAACACGGTAATTAAGGAATAAGAGAGAATCCAGGCTTTGTTCCTGCCGATGCTCCGTGCACGGGAAGCCGGGAGCAAACGGGAGGTGGTGAATGATGGCTCAGGAGAGCTGCCAGGGACGGTTCCAGCTGCCCTGCAAGGCTGATGGCAATGCTGACACACCATTGACCACTCGAATTACGGGCAAGCCCTGGGAGCTGCGCCCCACTCTGACATCTCTGCCGGCCAGCGCTGGCTGGTGTCAGAGCTCAGAGCTGAGAACAGTGGGTTTATATAATTTCAGATGCAGATACCTGCTGAAAGGCAAAGCAGAGCTGACAGCCCCGCTCCCGGCTCTGGGAAATGCCAAATGTGTCCAAACACAGCAGGCTGCACTCAGACAAGGAGTGCCCCCGAGAGCAGAGGGCTGTGCTTTGGTCATTTCAGCACAAGAAGTAGTTACTAATTACAACATTTGCATAATTGAGAGATGAAGAGCCCTCCTTTGTCCCTGTGGCTGCTGCCCGGGGTCTCCAGCCAGGCCCCCGAGCCTGGGCCCTGCTCCAGCCTGTCCTGGACAGCACCCTCGTGTTGTTCCCCTCACCTGCACCTGCACCTGCTTGGCTCTGGACGCTCCAGCTGCCCGTGGGTGACGTGTTGTAAGGGATGGCAAACACATGGATTATGTACAGAATAGATAATCAATGGTATTTTCTACTGAAAGCACAGAACCACGGAATCATGGAAGGGTTTGGGTCGGTGGGGACCTTAAATCTCATCTTGTGCCACCTCCTGCCATGGGCAGGGACACCTTCCACGATCCCAGGCTGCTCCCAGCCCTGGCCAGGACGGGGAACATTTGAAGGGATCCGGCAGCCACAACTTCTGTGGGCAGCCCCTGCAACTCTCTGAGTGAAATTCAACCTGCTGGAAAACAAACATAGCTAGGAATTCACTTTACATTTGGAAAGCTGCATTTTGAATTTTTTTAGCTCAAAACTGCAAGCGACAGAGAATCCAAATCGGGAGAATTTGTAGGATTTACAGTATAAATTATTAAAAGGGAAAGAAAAAGACGTTACTCATGAAAAGTGCATTCTTGTCGATCAAAGCTGCAAACAGAGAGTACTTTCATAAAGGCATCTGCCAGCCTTTGATACGCTCTGTGGAAACCTTGTCAGGTATTTTGAGAGTGGAACGTGGAGCTGTCGGGCTCCAGTGCTGTTCCCTGTCTCGAGGACAAGGCAGAGGCAGCACAGGGGGGTGAGCTCAGCCCAGGGGCTCCTGTGCTGCCTCAGCCAGCGGCTCTAGGAAAAAAAACATGCAGAAAGCTGGAACCTGAACAAAACCGTTCCCTGGGTGGAGGAACAAAGTGGCAGCGGCGCCGTGGCCCAGGCAGAGGCTCGGCACAGCCGGGCTGCCGTGAATGTGCTGCTCATTAAAGTGCTCGGCTGCTGAAAGCAGCACCTGCCAGCGCCCAGGATCCCATTCTCCAGCAGCAGCTCAGCTGGTTCAGAAGGGGAGCTCGGAGGCAGATGAACAATTTATGCAGAGTGGGATCCATGACAAAGTAGCAGCTACTTTGGTGAATACAAGCATCTTTGTACAAGTGCCCAGATGGTTGAGGAGCGGGGCCGTGGCTGTGAAAAGCGCCCTTGTTGTTGCGGGCTCGGCAGCACGCCCCTGACAACGTGCCGTGGTCTGGGAGCTGCAGGATCCCACACAGGACACGGCCCCGGCTCTGCTGGCACTTTTTCTGCAGGATGATGTCCTTCCCAGGGCATTCCCAGTGCTGCAGCCCCACCGTGCAGCGCCGTGTTCCTGCCCTGTGCTCTGCAGCGCCTTGGCCTGCTGGACACTCAGAGAGCCAAGCCTTGTCCTCAGGCACCAGGGGCACCCAGGGGTGTCCAGCCCCACAGGCTGCCCCCAGCCAGCCTGGCTGGGGATGGGGTGACAGCCTGGGAGAGACCCATCTCTCATCACCCACCATGAGATAACCTCGAAGCGGAGGATCCTGATGGATCCCAACCCCACCCACCAGGAGAGCCCCTGGCCTGAGAGCAGCTGTCCTTCCCGTGGGGGCCAGGGAGAGCCCCTGCCCTGCAGCCAGGAGTGATCTGGAGGGGCTGGTGGGAACAGCTGGGGAAGGTGAGGAACGTGGCTCTGTAAATCACCTTTCTGGTTGGGAAATTCGGAGCAGAGACTTTGGGGAGAGGCTGGGCAGCCCATGGAGGCTGGTGCTCCTGGGGGGAGGATGGAGCCGCACTGCAGCCTGGCAATGCAGCCGAGGGGACAGAGGTGAGGCTCCAGGAGAAGAGGAGCTGAGGCAGGAAGGTGCAGTGGGAACAGGGCCTGTGGTGCTGTGAGACAGACTGGGGACAGCTTAACACAAGTCCTCACTGTGGTTTGGGGATTTGTCGGTGTGTGTGGAGCCAGGGGGGCGTGGGGAGCACTGCTGAACCTCTCGGTGGGGCCTTCGGTGGGGGATGGCTGTGGGGAGTGGGACACCCGGGCAGGGGAAGGGCTGGGGCTGGAGACAGAAGCCTGCAGGGTGCTGGCTGGATTCCCATCCTCTCTGGGCACTGCTGATGCTGCCACCAGGTATTTCAGTGCCCCAGAGCAGCACCAGCCGCATCCCAGCAGCACTGATGGCTCTTAGAGTCCATTTGCTCCAAAAGCCGGAGATTTAAAGGTTCCCCTCCATGACAAATGAGCACTAAGGGACAAGCTCACATCCTGGGGGCCACGCTGGCACTTTGGCTGGCTCTGCTGGAAGGGCCGCGGCGGCTGCCAGCCCTCCATGAGCATCCCAGCCTGGTCAGGGAATTGGGCTCTGACAAGGGAGCTGCCACGGGCCGGTGCTTTGGCAGGGACCGTGGGCCGGCTGGGTCACGCCCAGTCACCTGCCGACCTTGGGGACACGGAGTCCCCGGGGCAGCCCCCGCCCCTCTGATCGGGGGGTCTGGCTTGCGGGCCCCCCCTGCCTCGGGTCCGACCCTGCTCGGCATCGGCGGCGGTGCCCGGAGCCCCGCGGTGCCCAAAGCGGGCCGGCCCCTGTGCCCCGAGCCGCTGCCCCCGCTGCGGGGGNCGGAGCCGTGCCGGGGCCGTCGCGCCTCGGCCGGTGTCCCCGCGCCGCCAGGGCTGCCCGGGGCATTGCTCAGCGCGCAGATGTCGTGGGATGCGTCGTATTGCCAAAAACTAGGGAAACGCACTCCCGGGCTCCGCTGGAGCGAGTCCGGTACCGGGACCGTGTGACCGCGGGCCGAGAGAAGCATCCCCGGCTCCGGCTGCTCCTGCGCTTCATCCCTGCCATCGGCATCCTCCTGGCGAGGGAGCTCACCGAGAGCCGCACGCGCGGGGATTGCTGCTGGAGGCGGCTGGCCCCAGCCCAGCCCGTGGGCGATGGAAAATTCGGGGCAGAGTTTTGAGTAAAGGTGACTCAACACGTCAATAGCAACATCTCCCGGCGCGGGGCCCGCAGCTCCCCGTGCCCTGCCATGCCGAGGAGGGGTGCACATCCCTTCATTCACAGGCACAAAGCTGCTCCTGCCGACAGTGCCAAGGACGGTTACCAAGGGTGCTGCGGGCTATGGGAGGCACCGTCATTTTGGCTTAAACAGTGTAAAATTGATAAATGGGGTGATTTGTGCAAATACCGCCGAAGAATGGTGGTAACGCCGCCGCTCCCCGCTCACCTCCCCCGCCGGGGTTGTAAAGTGTGACCCAGTAAACAGCTCCAACAGCAGCCCGGTTTATTTTGCATAAGCCAAACTAATTCGTCTCTCAGAGGTTGTTTTTAATACTAATTAAATGGGAAACTGTAGTTTGAGAGAGAAAGTGTGGGCAGAGTGGTTCGGAAAAATCTGGATTTTCTGCCCTTAAGACAATTTGACAAGGTGTCGTCATTTTGCATGTCAGTTTTTTTAAAGAGGAAATACTACTTGGTCCCATATTCCGGTTGGTATTTTATGTGTAGCATAGTAAACAGGGATTCCTGGTATTTAGCATGCACGACCTGAGGGATGAAGAATTTGCTCCTGCTACCCTGACAAGCAAGGTTACCCCACTTAAATGTTTGCTCTCGCTCGCTTTCGTGCTGCCTTATAAGCCAAGTATTTATAGTCCATGCGAAATTAGGGAGAACATAGCAGGAATGTGTAATGTCTCGCAAGTGAGGAAGCCGTCACCGCGCAGGCTGCGAGCGCTGAATGAGTTTTGAAGGTCATTCCCTCACGAGCGCAGAGATTTCACATCTTGCCGAGATCCACGGTGTCTCCTCAGCCAGGCTGGTTCTGCGCCTGTTGGATGTGATTTATGCCTTTCTATTTTTGCTGGAACCCGGAGGAGCCGGCCGGAGCTCGCCGTGCCGGGGATGCGGAGCCGCGCCTGCAACTTTGTGCCCCAGGTTCTGCTGCTGTGGCCGTGTGTCCTCCCTGGCAGCAGGGCTGAGGATGGGCTCGCTGCCCTCCCTGGAGCCCGGCCTGTCTGCCGGCTCAGCTGCCTTCACCGCCGGCGAGGAGGAAGCAGCACTGGAGGCAGAGCTGGTTTTTAAGAAGGTTTATTTACATTTCAGATGATGGCATCGGTTAAATCTGTCAGAAAATTCACCTCTGCCTGCGCTCGATGAAGGTGTGTGAGTAGGGGTTTGGTGCTGCCAAATCATACCTGAGCATTCTGCTTCTAAATAAAGCCTTTTTTATTTGATTTTCCAAGGTTTGCTTTGTTCATATTCCCCTATGAACGAGCAGTTCATTGTCTGAGCTGGGATCCATCCTTCCTCCTTTTCCCCCGGATCAGGGAGTGGGGTGCAGGGGGTCGGGGCAGGGGTTGGCCCCTCCGTGAACCTTCCATTGTGAGGTGTTTCTGTGAGTTCCAGTGCTTTCTGCTTTGGGGAGATCCTGTCCCAGCACCTGCCTGGGTCAGTCTGTGTGTGCCAGGGAGCAGGGCTGGGCCCTCAGCCCTGCCAGGACCCGGGGCTCTCAGCCCTGCCAGGACCCAGAGCCCTCAGCCCTGCCAGGACCCGGGGCTCTCAGCCCTGTGTGAACAGGAAGATGTTGGGTTTTTCCTGGGAAAAGCTGATGTTTAAGGGTCCCCCAGGCCACGGAGGCAGCTCTTAAGGCAGTAAATGTTTGTGTGTGGGGTCCCTCAGGTGCGAGCAGTGACATCCCTGCCCCCGTGCTGGCTGTCACCTGCGGCTGGGGACACTGCTCAGGGCTGGCACTGTCCCCAGCGTGTCCCCAGGGATCGGGGGCTCCCAGAGAGGGGCAGCTGTTCCTGAAGGCGTTCGCTCAGCTCCGTGCTGAGGGGCTGCTCCAGCTGTTTCATTTTAATGTTTGAAGTGTGTTAAATGTGTTAAATTTTGTTTGACGTGTGTTTAATTTGAGCGTCACCCCCGTGTCTCCAGGAGGGACCGGCGCAGGCTCCTGGCGGTGCTGAGAGCTCCCAAACACCAGCAGTGCTGTGGTTTGCTGTGAGCCAGTTCCCTGTCTGAGGAAATGGTTTAAATTCTTCACTGCGGTGTCAGTGGTGGCATAAAAGGCTCGAAATAATTAATGATTTGTCGTTGCTGGATGCATCAAGCATTTTCCTGGAAAGACAGTGGAGTTTTGTTTCAAACCCCAATAGAACGACGGGAACGTGGAGATGTGAGAAAATAAATATATGGTTTCTTAGATGCCGAATGTAAGAACTTCCTTGCCTAAGATTGGGAAGAAATGAAAGCGAGCTCCTGGCTGCACTCTGGGACAAAGCCCCTGCTTCCCTCTTGGAGCAGCAAGTTCTTTCGGATCCCTGACAGGATCATTAATATCAGGCAGCAGCACAAAGGGGAGCTGGGGGTTTGTGGCAGTGAAGGTTATTTGTTCATTATCTTTTTATCTTCGGAGAGTTTCCAATTGCTTTTCCCGGGAAGTAGGTTAGGAGAGCGCGGTTCCGCTCTTCCCGAGCACGGGTAACGCTCTGGGGGGCCGGGGCACAGGGCAGGGGCTCTGTGCCGAGCTGGTGCTGGCTGTCTGTCTGTCTGTCTGTCTGTCTGTCCCACAGCCCTCCCTTCCCTCCACAGCTGGAGCCGGAGTGCGGGGATGGGAACCGGGGCCAAAACATTGTCAGAAATTGGGGGATTCGGGGGAATCCCAGAATTGGGGGGATGCGGGTCCGGGCTGAGGGTCCCACTGAGGGTCCCACTGAGGGTCCCACTGAGGGCCCCACTGAGGGTCACACTCAGGGTCCCACTCAGGGTCACACTCAGGGTCTCACTCAGGGTCTCACTCAGGGTCACACTCAGGGTCAGCAGCGCAGTTCAAGCCCCCCGAGCACTCCCCCCTCTCTCGTGGTCCCCCCGGGCCGGGGCAGCGGCTCCCAGGGAGGCTGAAAGCGTCACCTCAGCTTTGCTGCTGGCTGTTGGAAGTGATGTTTTTATTCATAGCCTGGGAAATGTGTTTGCAGCAGAAAGGCGTCGTTGTGGCTCAGCTGTGGCTCTGTGAGCTGCCGGGACAGCTCCTTCGCCCCTGGCTCCAGCATTTGCATCCACTCGGCTTCGTGGGCTCGGGAGGAAACTGCCTGAAATGCACAATGAGTTTGAAGGGAAAACAGCAGTCAAAGCTGAGCACTTCATCTCCTTTCTTCTTAAATTTATCTCCAAAAGATACAGAAGGCAGCTGAGGAAAGCATCCACTAAATGCCCGCTGAAAATGGGGGACAAAATTCACATTTCAGTGGGAGCAGAACCCCGAGTTGTTTTGCAAACCCATGGGAAATATTTCCATTTCTGTTCTTTCTCCGCCAGCCGAAATGTCTGTTTTCTGTTCACTTCTCATACCTGTTTTACAACGTTACCTGCTGTGAACCCGCCGGCTATTCCCCCCTCAGGAGCCAATTTCCTGACAGAACTACTTTGCTTATCACCTTCCTGTGGAAGATGCTGAAGGCAAACACAGAGCCGGAGTCAGATAGAGATGTAGATGTCCTCACGCTCGTGCCCACACACAGAGATGCCGTTGGAGAGAGATGTGCACCACGGCACAGGAAAAAGGAATTTGCTCCTTTTGTCGTGTCAGAATTAGGTAACGTGCAGCAGGAGGCTTTTTTTGAGGCATCTGGGGAATTCTGAAAGTGCCGTGAGCAGCCCACTTATTTTTAATTTGTGAGTCAGTCTCCGGGAGCCCAGAGGGATCGTGGACACGGGGGTGACGTCGATGGGCACGTGCTGGCAGCCCAGGAGCACACGAGGCCTTGGGGTGCCCCGTGCAGGAGCAGAGGCACTGAAAGCTCCTGAGATCCTCTCTGACCTGGCACATCTGTTTGGGCACCTCACAGCTGGCTCCTCCTGGAGGCTGTGTGGGCAGCGAGACCCCGACTGAGATGCCACCAGTGATGGAGATGCTCTCAGTCTGTGGAAACTCCTCCCAGCTCGTGCCAGGGTGGGGTTTGCTCCGGGGTGTGGGGCAGAATCCTGGAGTGCTCTGGGTTGGGAGGGACCTCAAAGCCCCTGCAGTGCCCCCCTGCCATGGCAGGGACACCTTTCCCTGTCCCAGGGTGTCCCAGCCCCAGTGTCCAGCCTGGCCTTGGGCAGTGCCAGGGATCCAGGGGCAGCCCCAGCTGCTCTGGGCACTGTGCCAGGGTTTTGCCACTTGGCTCGGGGGGTGGCTCCTTGATGAACCCTTTGTGTTCCAGAGTGGCTTGTGCTTATTTTTGTCTGGTGTCACATGCCACTGAGAAGGCTGGGAATGAGCCAAACAAGGGGCTGCTGTGAGGGAAGTGCTGGGGTTTATTTGCCATCAGTTTTGGGGTCAGGCTGGGGACTGTGGCAGAGCCCTGGATGCTGCCGGTGCCATCAGCCACCTGTTTGTGGGCAGAAAACCCAATTATTGTTTGGTTACAGCAAGATCTGGAGTTGCATCTGCAAATAAGGAGGTTTCAGGTCAAATTCTTTTCTTTGCAGTGTTTCCAGGGTAAATGATTCCAGCAGTAGGGGAGTGATTTCCCATTGATGATCCGGGATTGTGAGGCTGATGTGTCCACAGTGAGTGTGCAGGGACTGTGGCTCTTGCAGAGCACAGGAGAGGGCAGCAGGCTCTGATGGACACTGTGGTTACCTTGGGCTGGGGTCTGTCATGCCAGGGCTGGGGGGTGACTGGGAGGGATCACTGAATCACAGAATCATGAAATCATTAAAAGGTTGGAAGGGACCTGAACGTTCATCTTGTTCCAAACCCTTGCCATGGACTGGGACACCTCCCACCAGCCCAGGTTAAATGCCCTCCTCTGACAGGATCAG